ATATATATATATATATATATATATATATATATATATAGTCATCATTGTATTGCGGGTTGCTTCTGTGGTGTCAAGAGCAAGTTCTCAGTGCATTGTTTTCTGAAACTGCTTCTTCCTGTTCTTGGAGGAGTCCAGAGGGCTGATGTCCCAGGGAAGTGGGAAACTGGAGATGAGAGAGTGCACAGCCCATTAGGTGGCTGCAGACAATGTGCACAGAAGCGTGTGCCAGTGTTACAGTGAGGACTGGATTCTGGCAGAGTAGGAGACGTTCCCATAGGGAGGTCCCTGTGTTCTGGAAGGCCAGTTCATTCACCTCCATGTTTTATTGCACACCTACTATGTGCCACATACTGGGCACAGAGCAATGACCGTCAAACCATAATGATAGGTGATCTGATAGACTGAAAGCAAAGGAGGCCTTTGGTTGGACCAAGGAAGGTGACAGTTCATGCAGGGGGACAAGTGATATCTCCTTAAGGGGAAAAGTCAGGCAAATGCTCTACCAGGGAAAGAGGTGACCATTCAGGTCACCCTGAATGGAGTGACCATTACGGATAGGCAAACAGGTAAAGATGAAGGTAATTATCTGTAAGGAGCAAGTTTACTGGTTAGAGAGATGTGACTCCTCCTAGGTGACATGCCTTCGGTTCCTTGAATGAGCAGCCCCAGGACCCTCCAACCCACGAGGTCCCTACATGAATTTGGGAAAGGCATTCTCCCTGGGCTGCTTAGCCCAGGAGTGGACTCAGCAAGCAGAGGGCATCCTTGTTGGGTCTGGTCTCAACCTACAGCCCCATGGAGGCCCCAGGAGCCACCCTCTAGCCCTGCTCTGACGGCTCTTGCTGCCTGGACCATTTACATGGGCTGCTCTGTCTTCCTGAAAGGCTACACCACTGCCCTCCTGCTTCCTGTCCAAGCTTCACCTTAGAGGTGACTGTCACTGGGAAACCATCCCAGTCCCTCACCTGGACGTGGCTCAGCTCTCCATTCTCACATTGGTTTGCCATTCTGTCCATTTCCCTTAATTATACTCAACACAGTTACAAAGGCTTATAAAGTCGACTTTCTCCTGCTTGAGAATCTAAGCCCTAAGAAAGCAGGGCCTCTGGCCTCAAGTTCACTGCTGCATCCCCCACATGGGTGTGCACTGGGGATGCATTCAGCAAATGCTTCTGCAATATGTGAATGGGAGGGTCATTGCCAAAGCCATGGAAAGCCACCTTATCCTTCCAGGGGAGTAGTCTCACCACACTCTTCCCTCCATGCCTCCTGGACGTGCCAGGACAGCCCCTAATTCCAATCCTGGGCCCTGTGCTCAGACTCACTCCTGGAGGCCTAGGTCAGACTCACTCCTCTTTGCCTTCACCCTGACTTCCCTCATGTATCCAGAAGGGGCACTCGTTGCCCTCTTTATAAAAATATGCTGTCCTCTTCCCAGACCATAGGTTAGGTTTGGATTGTGTAAAGGCAGTGTGACTACACACGTTTGGAACGCAAAGCTACCCATGTTTCCATTTCATGTTGTTCTATCACTATTCAGTCATTCAAAAAAAAAAAAAAAAGAAAGAAAGAAATTACTGGGCACTATTCCAGGGACTATGTTTTCTGTTCTCAGTTTGATAGAAAACAAATTTCTTGGATTGTCCACTGTTTCATAGCAAAGACATGAGGTTGAAATGATGGGAAGTTTAACATTCTAGCTGAAATTCACTAAGCACTTTCTCCAGATTTGTTTTGTTCTTGGCCTTGGCAACAGGACTTGACCATCAGGAGGAGAGCGAGGACAATAGCAATAACTCAGCTAGCAAGGAATGTGAGTTAAATACCGTAAACCACAGGAGCACAACAATTCCCTGCTTAGAAAAGATTTGCTTGTGAACTATTTCTAGGAGCAATGGATTAAGCTAAAGAGCTATTGTTTTACGAGAGGTATTAAAAACTATTTTTATAAGATGATGAACTGACTCTGAGCCATATGAGTTTATCACCCACCCTGGTTGATTCTTCCATTCTGGTTGGTACATTGCCCTTTCCTGAATGACCCCCACCCCAGCCTTCCCACACTACCCTCAGTTCACTGAGCTCCACCCAAGGTCCACCCCCACCCTTTCCTCAAAGTCCAGCATCCACAAGGTCAATGCTGGACACAGGAGGGAGCCACACCAGTTGCTAGACATACTTATCCCTTGGTAGCTGTGGGTTACGATTTCTAGGACCCTCAAGGATACCAAAACCTTCAGATGCTCAAGTCCCTTGTTTAAAATAACATACTATTTGCATAGAACCTATGCACATACTCCCATATAGTTAAAATCATCTCTAGATTACTTATAATACCTAATATGATGTAAATGATACATCAAAATAGTTGTTATAGTGTGTTGGCTTTTGAAATAATGACAAAAGTCTGTACATATTCTGTATAGATACAATATATTCTCCAAATATTTTTTATCCATGATTGGTTGAATCTTCCAGTGCAGGACCTGAGAAGGGAGCCCAGTTGCATTCTTAATACTTGATTACAGGTGAAGGAGCATACAAAGAATTCACTAAAGAGTCCATATTCCTTATAATACATAAATTCCATAAAGGATTCCGTGAAAGGAATCTAAGTCCTTTGTTCTTTAATGCTGTACTGCTCACACACGAAGTTCTCGTTTTTCAAGTCAATGACTCAAAGAACCAGCAGAGGGAGTGATTTCCTAATAGAGAAGCTGTGGACCCCAACAAGATACCACCATGATTTTTTCCGGGGTTGCCCTAACGCAGTACCACAGACTGGGTGGCTTACAAAACAAAAATGTATTTTCTCACAGTTCTGGAGACTGGAAGTCTGCAATCATGGTGTCGCATGGTTGGTTTCTTCTGAGACCTCTCTCTTTGACTTCTCTCCGTGTTCTCATGTGACCATCTCTCTGTGTGTCCATGCCCTGATCTCCTCTTATGAGGCCCCCCTAGGGACCTAGTTTCACCTTCGTTATAGTTTTAAAGGTCCTCTGTCCAAATACTGTCATATTCTGTGGTACTTGGAGGTTAGGACTTCAACATACGAATAGGGAAGGGGTGGCATATTTCAGCCGTAATAGCTATTCAGGTTTCAACTTTGTCAACCTTTAAAAAGTGTTGGTTTGACTTAAAATTGATTGATGTTATAATGGTGCCAAAGAATCATCATGCATCAGTAGAAAATGTGCTATAAATGTTGAATTTGGGTCATTCTCAGGCCGTCAATGCTCAGTCTGACCCACTGCAGCTCCCAGTCAGCCAGGTGCTCACAAAGGAAAAGCAGCCCACGCTCCACATTGTGCCTGGTGCTAAGCTGGGATGCTTAATAGGTTAGATGCCTTAAATGCATTTTTGATCTACTATATTTTCAACTTACAAATGGGCTTATTAGGGTAAATCAAGGAGTATCTGTATTTCAAAAATATAGATGTTTTCTAAAAATTATATTGCCTACCTTGTTTTGAGTCCCTAATGATTATGGTTTAAAGTCTGTGCTCATCACTAGATTGGTACACAACGTGGTGTGCTTGGATTGGTGGGAAGGCAGGCCTGGGTCTTGCTAGGGTAGGCCCTGCATGTTCACTCAGCTAAAGACACAGGAGGAAACCAGTGAGGCAGGAAGCATGAATTCTCAGTTCTCTAAAGAGGCCAAGAAGTCCCTGAACCACAAAATGGGGAGTTGCAGATGTTGTGAGAAGTCAAAAATTCAGTGGTCCATTTTTTCAGAATGAAGTATTTAGCCTTAATTGGGAAGTGAAGATCCAGTCGTAGCCATTTTTAACTCTAGCCCTTCCCTTTGTCAGCCCCAAATTTTAGAATTAGCTAATCACACAGATTATAAACCGGAGCTCCTCCCATCAGGGAAAGGGGCAGCGCTATGTTAGGGATAAAAACAGGCAGACTGCCCACCCAAGTGCACTTGCTAGCCAGGTTCGGGAGCACACGCTTGTGGCAGAGGTAAGGCTTGCCTTGCCGACCCACTTCTGAGCATGTGTTTGATTTCTTGCAGCACCTCGGTATTTCTAGCAATTTTGGCACCCAACATGGAGCTCCGTCCATCACCTAAGGGTCATGAGGACTCCCTCCTTAGAGGAGATACATCCTGCTGCCTTGTTGTGGCCTCGGAGTAGGGGAGGAAACTGTGATCCCTGAGGCTGACAACAAACCCCAAATTGAAAGTGGATCGGCCATGCAGAGAAAGGACCCAAGCAAGCACCACGTGACAGGTAACTCTGAGCACAGATCAAAGGAGGGAAATCTATTCTCACGCTCGCTCAGAAAGAAGTATTTCCTTGGTGGCCAGGCCATCCCAGAAGTTGTGTGAGTCTGACTGAGACTATTCCAAAACATGAGACCACATCTAAGAGAGTGGGATGGGAGAGTGTGCACAGGGGGTCTGGGGTGTACAAGAAAACTCCAATAAGGGGGGGTGAGCACAAAGAGGGGGACTTAATTATAAGAATCTACAAAAAAATGAGAAATAAAAATTCTAGACCTAGGAACAGGGAAAGACAATGAAATGATTCCATAGGGAAAATAAACAGTGGTGGTGGTGGGAGAAAATCTACCCCAGTGGAGGACAAGGCTACCTGAACCTTTGATTTCAGTGTCCATCATGCCTGACAGACTACACACCTAATATTTCTAACTTACAGGTCTGCCCTATGTTTAAGTCATAATATAAAAATTTTTGATAGACCCTATTTTAACTTCTAGAGGTTTAGATCTAATAGAGACTGTAATAAATATCTGTAGCTATTATCTCCTACCTGTGGAGATCTAATACCTGCCAAAAATTACAAGATTTTTGTTTCCTGTGTCATGTATATGTATGCACACCTGTGTATTATATGTTGTGTCTACATATGTGCTTGTGTTTATATATATCACGTACATGGTATCAAAATTGGCTCATAGATAAATGAGTACTCATAAATTTAATGAATGGGTCCAAATGCCTTTCAATTAACATGACTTAAATAAAACTTTAACAAAAAGGGTCAATCTAAACGGGTAAGAGTAAGGATGCATTTGAAACTACTAACCCACACATTTTTTTTTCTAGGTGGCCAGCCAATCAGAGTGTTGGTTTCCATAAAATGTTTCAAGTGCAACGTCCATTGCTTCTAAGGGTTTTTCTTTGGCAGGAATAACTGACTTAAAGTGTTAACTAGTCTTGTTCAATACCTTGGTTTTCATGGGTAAATTCGATTTAACATAAATGGGATTAATCTTCATGAATATGTTTTGTTAGAGGACACATCTATTAACTTGCAAAATTAAAGTACTAAAACATCAACTAAGTATAAATTCAGGTACTCTTGGCTTCTTGAATTCCATAAGGTAACATATATTTGGTTCCATTACAAATTGGTAAAATAAAATAAAAAGTTCAAGATTGCATGTTTTGGAGTCTTAACCTAAAAGCGAGGTTGCCAAGTGTTAAAATTCTAACAGGTGTAATTCTATATGTATATAAAAAGCTTCAGCTGAGTTTTGATTAAAGTACTGTCAAAAGAGTGAAGTATTTCATCTTATTTAAAAAGAGTAAGATTTGTTTGAATGAGAGAAGATTGAGCTCCTATGACACAAGGGGGAACCTAAAGAGAGGGCTTTTTTCCACTTACGGCTTCTGGATAAAGGCACTGATCAGAGTCCATGATGAGCAGATATTAAGAAAAGTGTTGGGGCTAATGGTTGGAACCTGTGTTGTACAGGCACTGGGAGGGTACCAAGTCTATTGACTTAGCCCATGGTTGTCTAATTGACTATACCCTGTTAGTTCTCAAATCTAAATTTTTTCTGAAACTTCCATGTGGATCCACCCCAACTTCCATTTTCCCAGATGCTCTGAGACAAGGGAGTTGACTGGAAGCTTTAACCTTGGTGGGTGGCCTTCACATTAAATTAATAATAATAATAATAAGTTGATTGGGTTCTGTTACCCTGAGTGCCTGATGATTAACTGTCCTATTTTATCCAGGGGGTGAAAACTGCTAGTCACAAAGGACATAACAAAGGTCTCCAGTGCTATTAGATTATAATCTGGGGACAAAAAAAAATGTTCTCCCCTTTTAAGATCTAGTAGGATGTTCAGGGTAGAGTCCAGCCTGTTGCCCACAGAACTAAAACAAATGTCCTCCTGGAGTTCCCATGTATGCAGGTATCTATGTCTTGGTAATAATGATTTCTATATAGGGAGGTCCCTAGCAGTCTCCATATGGTCAATGTGACCTTCATTGGACAGGGAGGAGAAACTGACATAAACCCCTCACAACTAGTTGATGGTGCCTTCATGGCATATAATGTCTGGGAGGAACAGAAACAAAAGCCAACCTGTGTTTCGTTGGCAGCTTATGCAAAGGGATATCCAAGGAGGCCTAAAGAAAAAGATGAAAAGGGCCTCCATCATTGAATATCAATATGCCTCGTGTAAGAAAAAGGCCCCAAAGGAGCATCTGGGTACAACTGACAGTGGGGAATCACCTGAAGTTGACGGCATTATGGTAATGATAAGGGATGCAGGTCAGGTTAACAATCTCCTGTGTGCCAACTCTGAATACAAGCTGGGGGGCGGGGATTAAGGCACGTTTTGTTTTGTCTTTGTGTATGCCAGATTGTCCACCCCTCTCCCGGGGTAAAATTTGCTGTGTAAATTAAACATGCAGGTAACATTTTTACACAAAGTGCAACAGCTTCATTTGCAAATGGGTCGGTCCCAGGAAAGAAAATGATAGCCTGCTCTGCTGGAGGTCTAGTAAAGTGAGTAAGGTTAATTGGGCCATAGGGACCCTGAGAAAAGTGATCAATATTATCTGAACTGAGATTTTGTTTAAGGAGGGAATAACTTGCCCCAGGAAGAAAAAATACACACACACACACACACACACACACACACACACACACCTTAAGAGTGAGGCATTAATGGGGATCCATTCTCTTCTGGACAAAGTTTCAAAACATGAATTGAAGCAGCTTTGCCACACAACCTTAATATATGTGACTAGAGATATGTATACATTTAAAAACTTAGAGGAGCGCTTCACCAAGCTGGTGTTCACCAAAATAAAGTGGTCTATAATGTTAATCTCCTTCATATTTATATAGAAATAGCAAATTTAATTGGGGATTTATTTATGTCATTTAATATTCTGTAACTGGATGAAGGTAACCTGATATCAAATATATATATATATAATTTTGTGTTACTTTTTACAATGGGACTGGAATTTAAATGTATTTTTTGAAAGACAGTAAGGAGATCCTTACTTCTTTAAAGGTTGATATTGTAAACATGAAAGCATTTTGCCATTTATCCCACAAAGGGAAGTTAGGTGCTTTCTTAGTTTTTGTTTAATTCATGTTTCATATGTAATGTCAAATTGTATTATTTGTCAAGAGTCCTGCCTTACCTGAGATAAGGTTCTGCTTCTCACCCTACTACATGTTAGGATGGCTCCAAAGTAAGCTAAACTTAAGTTCATTTAAAGTTCAAAGGAGAGATTTTTGTTGTAATGATTACTGGGATCTCAAAATAAAGGTTTAGGATTTGTTTTATAGCTATTATATAAACCGAATGTTTTTGCTCATGTTAGTTTCATTTTGTATTTTCCTTGTAAAAATGTCTGACTGTTCTCTGGTCATGTTTTGCAGAACCACTGCTTCAAATAGAACAACTGGAATTAATTTGAGACAATAAGCCATCACCTATAGGACAGATAGGATATAAAGCTGACTTCTAGTACTGATACTGACCCTTATTAAACAAAAGGGATTACTATTAATTAAATTATAGCCTTAAAGTATGACCCATTACTCCCACTTTAAGACTGGTGAATCTTTCCTGCTGATGTTTAAAACCAAACCTGGAGTCCAAAGTCAAGGAAATAAAAGAGCTAAGGAAAAATAGCCAATATTCTGGCTTTTGACCTCTTAGGTCAGCCAAAACTCAGGGAATACCAGAACTTCTCTAAGGGCCTTGCAACTCTGGTGAGCTCCCAATCAGGAGTATCAAGAGGACCCTAGAAAACAGGAGGCCAACCAGTGCACGTTCTGCAAAGAGGAAGGTCATTGGAGAAGGAAATGTCCCTGATGCTTCCAAGAGAAGCCACAAAGGTCAGCAAGACACTGACCCATCCTGGCAGATGGCACCACTGGTAGAATAAAAGCTAAAGGAGCCAAGAGGCTTCTCACAATTTCCAAAAGTGATCCCTGACAACTCTCAGCTAACTCTAACAGTAGATAGGGAAAAGGTCAATTTTGACCAGTTTGGCCTTAAACACCTGGCAAGAAAGTAGGACCAAAACCCAGACATACATGGACATTTAAATGATAAGACAATGGTGCTTTTACTTGAGACATACATTTGTGTCAGTCCTCCTGAAAGTAAGCTAAACTGGGAAGTTATAAAGGAAGGGTTTTTATAAAGTGTCTGATAAATATCACAAAAAGCTCTGTCAGAGTCACAAGTTTGTTCTGAGTCAATTTGAAACCTACCTGAGCTTTATTTTATTTACTTATTTATTGATTGATGGTCTGGTTATTATAAACTGCTTCTCAGACTCTCCTGAAGTTTGCAATTCATCACTTCCAACCTGGCGACTTGATTTTAATCAAAACCTGGAAGGGAGACAAGCTTCTACAGAGCCGGAAAGGACCTTACCGAATGTTCCTAATTACCAGGATGGTTATTCAAACTGCTAAAAAGGGGAGAACTCTTTACCACGGGCAATCTCCACCTCAAAAAGTTAATATATCTAAGATGGATGGCAATACAAAATGAAAATGAAACCAAAACGTATAAAGAGAAACAGAGAAGGCTTGTGAGAAAGAGATAGGTCACTGGTTCATTTTCAGAATACAGTATTTAGCTTTAATTAGAATGAGAAAATCCAATTGTAGCCATTTCTAACTATAGCCCTTTGCCTGTCCCAATTTTAAAATGAGCTAATCACATAGATTGTAGCCCCAAGCTCCTCCTGTCAGGGCAAGGGGCAGTGCTACATTAGATACAAAAACAGGTAGACTTCCAGCCCCAGAGTGCTTGCTAGCCAGGTTTGGTAGCATGCTCTTCTGGAAGAAGTCAAGTTTGCCTTGCAGACCCACTTGAGAGCATGAGTTCAATTTCTTGCAGCACGGGTAGTTCTGTAAGGGTCCGGCGAAGCGTCGGAGAAAGAGACCACCAAGTGACCACTCATGCAATTGGCAGAAGGGGATTTATTGATCTAGCATGCTAGGGCTCCGTGCCCACTCAAGAAGGGAAAGCAGCCCAGAGCCCCGAGCAGGGGCTGAGCACTGCTTAAGTACACTTTTTTTGGAGGGCGGGACTTTACATACATCACAGTCTCCTTTAACAAATCATCATACACCGCGGGAAAATCAAACAACAATTCCTAAACATGATTAGTTCATTCATTGGCGGGAACAGGTCAGGCGGGAGTGTTAGGTCAGTTCTAAACAGGGTACACATTCAAACTGATTGGTTTAGGCCCTGCGATGCCTACGTGCGACCACACAGAGCCCTTCAGTTATTAAACAACCAAGTAGTCAGGGGAAATATTTACTGGGCGGTTCCAAGCATTGTCTTAACAGCTACAGAAATTTCAGGTTTTGCAGGTAGCATAGAAACCTAACAATACCTAATCCTTTACATTTTAACTCAGACCTTGCAGCTTAGAAACTTTACAATACCGGGTCTTTTACCCTTTAACTTTTACGCTTTAACTTCAACTTCTTTTACCCTTACAGTTCTAACATGTTAAGGGTCTTATCAGACCTCATCAAGCCCAGCCTACAGACTCACTCCTCCCTGATTCCCCCCTCCTGCCCCAGCTTCATACAATCCAGGGTGTTGTAGTCCTGCTCATGGACCAGCCTAGATGCAGAGGGAATGACCTCCTGGAGGAAGGGACAATTAAGCTGAGTCCAGGAGGGAAAGGAGAACCTGGGTCTTTAGGAGAAGAGAACAGCTTTCATGAGCCCAGTTCCACTGGGAAAAGAGCAGATGAAGCATTTGAGGGCAGAACACTGGTTCAGCAAAGCAGGAGTGGAGATGGGATGAGGAGCTGTGTCAACAGCTGGCCCAGCGCGTGAGATGAGCTGGTTTCAAAGGAGCTGGTTGTATCAATAACTAAGAAAACAGCAAAGAAACCACACAGCACATGAACATGAGTTTCTCAGATCAAGGGTGGGACTGCTCTGTGACCCCAAGGGTCAGCTCCACACTGGGCAGCGCTGGAAAGAGAACATGCACCTGGATTCTTTTTATTTTATAGGAGAGACGCACACAAGGGAAGTTGGATGGAATGTTCTTCACCAAATAAGGCAGAAAATTGGGTTTCAAAGGTGGAGTCTTGCTTTGTGATGTCTTGTGGTCAGCAGATTGATTGACATCTTGGCAGGTCACACCCATGTCAGGTGCTGTATGGGATCACAGGCAGAGCCAGAG